AAGAAATGAGTGCATTTATTGGTGTTCATGATACCCATAGGACCTTTTCTCTTCTCCCTAAAGGATGAGCAGTTAACTCTCCACAGCCCTGGCCCAAATCGTTCCTTTTTCCTGCTCTGCCCATAAAGAGCACTTGAGCTATGACCCTCCTCCTGGGTCTCAGTAATGGAAACAAAACTATATTTGATCAGAGGCCTGGGGGAGGATGTGGTGAAGGAGGAGGATGTAACCTAGGAACGTCTGAGAACTTCCAGAACTAAACTATCTAAACAGCAGTACGAATATCAAAAACATTCATGACAGATGGCAATTGCCTAGGATAAGAATGAGCTTCATTTTTCTGTTTATTTTTGGGAAAACACATTCCTTAGGCACACATGTGTTTCATACACTGAAACAAACAGTGGCAGAAATTTAGAAATTTTGCTGGGAAATTTTGAAATTATCTTCTGGTCCAATCCCTTTGATTTTGTACGTGAGGACGGAATGTTAGGAGACTTTGTCACTACACAGTCAAATAGTGACTTTTATTAGCAGAAACATCATTTGAAAGGACTTCCTTTTTCCTATTCACAATACCTGCAATAAAGCAGATGCACAATGGTACACTGTTGAATTGAGTTGCATGAGAGAATTAGAACTAAGTACCCTTTCTTTCACAAGTCTCACTTTCTCTAGACCAAGGGTAGAAGGACCAGATGGAAAGCCATCACACAAAATTTATGTTTGAGTGGGACAAGGCTCAGGATACCAACAGAGAATGTCAAAGAAAGCCTAGGAAAAATGCCAACCGTCTCTGCCCCAGCTAACAACTAGTTCCAACGTGGGAATCTTGGGACAGAAAAGGTATGTCAAGGAAGATAATTTGTTTCTTTGAAAGATGAGCTTAAATGGCAGAATTATGAAGAAATATTGGTGAGCTCTTCTTTAACAAAACATCCCCAATGGCATGGTTTGAGGAACAGTTTAGTTCTAACCTTAACTGAATAACATCTGTTTAATATTGATGCCAGACATTACTACTCTCAAAATACATTCATTCCCAAAGTCCTGTAATTTCAAGAAAAGAATATTGTGGCATATTTTACAACCAGAAAAGTATTTGTGGATTCAATACCCTATAACTGACCAATACTTTAGTTCTTTTACTTGATGCCTTTTTCGTTAAGATGAGTCAAAACTTTCCTTCTCTATTGAATTACTTCAGTCTCAATTTATGGCATCTATACTCAAAACAGTAAATTAAGGGAAACTTTTTCATGTTAGGCTTGTAAAGAGAGTCTCATTACTCCATAGTCACAGCATAGTTTTACTCTTCATTTCATGGCATATGTTCTCTGTATATTCACAATATTTTAGGAAACTAGATAGTTCTTACTCTGCTGCTTTTAGGGTTTGCAGTGAAAGAACTGATGTTATACTACTTTTTTGTGTGTGTGTGAGGAAGATCAGCCCTGAGCTAACATCTATGACAATCCACCTCTTTTTTTGCTGAGGAAGACTGGCCCTGAGCTAACATCTGTGCCCATCTTCCTCCATTTTATATGGGATGCCACCACAGCATGGCCTGACAAGCGGTGCGTCGCCACGCGCCCGGGATCCGAACCCGGGCCGCCAGCAGTGGAGTGCAAGCACTGAACCACTACATCATGAGGCCGGCCCCTATACTACTTTTAATGGTTGACACTCAAAATAAAGTTTTACCTGAGTTTTATATCTTACCATTGTAAGCTTCATTACTATCTTCAACAGTTCAAAAACACAAATATATTCCATACAAAACTAATTTTCCAAAGGATAACAAGAGTATTTTAAGATAAACAGAACCCATATGAATTACCAAGTCTATAAAGAAGCACTTCTCAAGGTGGCAAATGAATCAAGGCCAGCACTGGTTTCAAATACCAAGTGTGAGAGAGGTTACAGACTGAAATTGACATAGTGCCACTTTTGACAGGAATCAAATGTCAAAAAGGGACACACATATCTCAAAAAACATGATGATGCATAGAAAAGTGGTGGAAGGGGCGAACACAAAGAAAGATATAAGCTGCTCTGAACTCATCACGTGATGAGCTCGCATGATTTATTCAAGACTGAAGAAAGAGGTCTGACAACTTCACCATCACTGGAATATAATTCTGAATTGAAACAAATAAAATTCTGGACACGTCACTAGAAGAAAACATAATGCTGCTCTTAAGGTAGCAGGACCACGTGCCTGAATCTGGAATACTGTCTAGTGTTCAGCTACATCCTATGAGTCATTAAATCACTAGAAAAACAGTGGTTGATAAGACACATAGTAAAAGAGGAAAAGAGGAAAATTATAGCCTGAGCAAGAGATTCAAGGTACCATTAACAAATTTTAGGCCTTAATGTAGTAGAATATTCAAAATTACATGCAAAAAAATTAAATTCTGAGGACCTGGAAAGCCCCTCAACCAGTCTAAGAGGCAGGTCATTTCAGGGAAACGAACTTTACTGCATGCTGAATTGAGGAATATTGAGAAAGCCTTGCTCATGCAAGCTGGTAAAACCAAAAAGTCCAGCCCATAGTAGCAGGGAGCTTAGTTCCAGAAGGTGCATTCAATCCTGTGCCTCAGTTAGTCAGAGTTTCTTTTACTGGTGGCACATGCCACAGTCCTGACTTTTCAACAGAGTGGTGATTAGGTTTGCGTAAGCAAATTTGAATCTCCAAGAATGCATAAAAACAACCAAAAACAAGTGTAATTTTGGAAAGGTTGGCTTTATGCCCATATAGGAAGACTTTTGAAATCACTACCCAATTTTATGTATAATTTATCTAGAATGTTTAGAACTTAAAGGGGTATTAATCTCTGCATTTATAAGCCAATTTACTAGATAACAGAAGTTGCCAGGTATTTAGAAAGAATCACAAATTTGTCTTATTAGGGTGTTGCATTTGGGAGAAGGAAATTTAGTAGTTTTGTAATTTTAACTTGATGTGTTTAAAGAAGCTTGACTGATTAAATGTATAAACGGGAATTCTATCAAATTTATAAAAAAATAAAGTGAAAATGACTTATTTTTTAAAATTAGCATATTTATAAATAAAATCTGTATGTTGATTAAAAATGGGCTTAAAGAAAAAATATAGCTTAAGATAAAAATAGAGCTTAAAACTAAGGTTAAGATTTATAAATTCAAGTACTACATATTAATAAAGCAAAGGTAATTGTACTATTCCTTTCTATGATCAAAATCTCCCCTTGAGCAATAAAAGCCTACCTGCACTAAGAATAAGAAGAAGAGCAAACAAGTGCCGAGCCCACATCTCACAGAAGGCCTGTATTGAGTACTACGGAGAAGGGGAGATGGGTTCTGCCACAAGGAGCTCAGATAACTGGGTAGGAAACTAACACATCATACCAAAAGCCAGAGTGTGAGAAATGATACAAACACACGGGCTCTAGGACAGCTATTTTCCGGAAAAAAACCCCATTTTATAACTACAAATGGTGGCAGAGTGATGTTTCAGGTAGTTAAGACTATAAGAAAGCTGATTTCCAGAAGAGTGAGTCTTTACTGAATAAAGAAGCACATTCTCCTTCCATCACAGCGTAAGTACATTTGACAACTTTCTCATTCAAATTTCCTAGTTATGATAGAAACCCTAGTTCCAGAGGTACATTGATTATCAAATATATTCTGATTGACTTGACCATGTCCCCACTCAAAAGCCTTATTAAATACCATATATAGGTTCAGTTATTTTCCAAGAAGGATTCGTCCTTGGGTAGTTCATTCGAATTTGAAAGGACTATCTTTATACTGGATATGAACAAATGAAACCAATGTTAGAAAACACATTTCAAACTTTACTCAAGTGCAAATTACTCAACACATTACTTTTTAGGTATAGAATGAACATTCAATATTTGCAAATTCTTATCTGTTGGCTAATGTTTCTGTGATTAGATAAAAATGTGCAATAAAAGATTTTATACTAATCACTCTTGATTAGCAATAAAAAAAGAAATGCAAGAATAAAACTGGAAATTTTTTTAAATCTTTAATATTAACCTTTTAAATCATGCATTTTGTTTTGATAATTTCTGAAATTAATCACTAGGAAGCATTTCATTCAGTTGAAAGAATGGGCTTTTTCACACACTCAATATTTATGACTTTCAAGTGGTACTTTCCCAGTTTTTATCTTTACTCCATTCCAACTTGTATTTTAATAGCAGTTTAAAAGTCAGGATTATTATTAAGTCTGTTTTAAAAATAAATTTAGATGTCATGAGAGAAAGTCCATTGAGTTAAATAAAACTTGAAATTGCTTTAAAAGATACACATATAACCTTAGAAACAAATATATAAACTAACTTTAAACATCAAATAATCTGCCTACATCAAGTACATATGAAAACATACTAAACTAACCAAGGATAAAACGTGGCAAGAAGGTGGCAGATGATTAAAGAGGACTCAGAATGTGATGGAAAACACAAAATGTGTTTGTTAAGAATGGTTTGATACTAAGGATTCAGTAATAACACAGCGACAACATGTTTTCCTACACATCCCATGTGTTATGACAATGCCCTTATTCTCCACATTCTTGGGCACAATGTCCTATAACCAGGACAAAGTGATCACGTCTTCAGTCTTGTAAACTTGAGCAGGGAAAATAAGATTAAGAAGCCCTCTACTACCATAAAAAAGATATATATATATATATATATATAAAAACAAATATTGACTGCCTCTAATGTCTTTCGGATAAAACAAGGTACGTACCTATGAGTAAATAAACAACAAAGAAATAAAAATTAATTGTGGTTACTATAATACCAGTAGTCAGTGATTTTAACATGAGAAACTTTGAACGAACATTTCAAATTCGCTGCACCATCAGATCAATAGTATGTTACTATTATTTTCCCAGAGTTAACTCTTAATATCACGTAATAACTTTGTTATCACAAAATAACTATGTGATAAAATTTTAAATAATTATTAAAATGACTTACTTTCTTCTTTCTTGCTAATAATAGCAGGCAGGGTGTAAATCTAAAAAACAAGGGAAGTCAGTCAATCACTTGCAGTTAATGACCCCACACAGAAGATTACCTGGGTGATGTTGGTACAATGACACACAAAGGAGGGGATCTTAATTTCAAGCTTCTACAACTGCTGGATCCACAGCATCTTCTTCCCACCCTGTCAACCAACCTTGCCTCCCACTCTTCTCCATCCCTGGCTGACCTGCCCTGGCCCAAGTTCTACCCCTTTCAGTCTAATTTATGAGTCTCATTCTATTCCCCAACATGATGCATAATATCCCTTCTTCCAGAAGTATCTCATGATGGATTTCACCTGACTGCTCCTTCCTCAAATCATCTGCTTAGTGTTTTGTTCTCAACGTGAACAGTCCTAACTTGTACCTGCTGAGCTATCACACTTGTCTTCTAAATTTGCTCTAGGTCAGGGCTTGCCTCTCAACTATTAGTGGTGAAGAGTCAAGTTTTGTTTTTAATTTTTCATCTGTCATTGACTGACATTTTTATAAATTACAATAATATTAAAATATAATAAACATAATAAAAAATAGACGCAGAATCCAAATTTTTATTATTAAATTCAACACGTGCAAAATGACTGCTTCAAATTGCTATACAATTTTCCAGATGGTTAATCATAATTTCTGCACTCATATTACTGTGGTCTGGTAACAGTTTGAGGGATGGCCTTAAAACCTTAAAACACACTTTGTATAGCTCTGTTGTACATAGGTATTTTGAGCAAGATTGCTCACAGGTTCTTTGACATCTAAAGGATAGTTCTCAAGGGACAGGATGGGGCCTGCTATTTGCTCTGTGTGCTCATCCCTCTAACCATCTAATGTAGTTGTCTTCATAAAGAAAACAGGCAGTGATCAATGATTTATTTCCTTTTTTACGTAAGCCTCTCTAATAATTTTAAGTAAATTATCATGCCAACATCAAAATAACTATTAGAAAAATGGGGATATGTAGGGCTGGCCTTGTGGCATAGCGGTTAAGTTGGGAGCGCTCTGCTTCAGCAGCCCGGGGTTCACAGATTCAGATCCTGGGCGCGGGTCTACCCCACTCATCAAGCCATGATGTGGCAGTGACCCACACACAAAACAGAGGAGGACTGGCACAGATGTTAGCTCAAGGCCAATCTTCCTCACTTAAAAAAAAGAAAGAAAGAAAGAAAAATGGGGATATGGATAGAGGTGAAAATGTCAAGCCACAGGCAGTTTCATCAAAGAAGACTTTTAAACAAGGGTCTAGATTACAGGACTCGCTCTTATCCTGAATCTTGATCGTCATGCTGATCATAACGCCCAGCACGGGGCTTGCAAAGAATGGGGACGCAATAATTATTAGCTGAAAAAAATAATCCAATCAGTGCAGCAAAATTAATGATCATAAGTAATTTTTTAAAAAGTAATTTTAGGGTTTTAAATTAGTCCTGGAAGTCCCCCTGAGAAACAAATTACAAAGTTGGTGCTACGTGCTAGTGGGTGAGATCATACTAGGAAAACAGTAAGAGTCTCTACTTCTCTGATTTGCTATTTAATATTTTCAAATACACTACAGACATATACAAAAATTTCAGACGTACTTTGTACTTATTAGAACAACAAAACCTAAATTATAGAATGCGTCATTATTCTTACCGGTTCCTTGCCATCCATGGCTTCAAGCCAGAGCTTCCGATTAGCTTCTGAGAAGGCCTGCAACGTGATGATCCCATGCCTATTAAAAACAAATATTTTATATATCCAATTTATTCCTGTTATGCCTTTACACATTATTTTTTTTTAATTCTTAGTTAACAATAAAGGTAAAATCTGAAGAAAAAGCAGGAAAGATAAAAAAGAAATGAAAAGAGAGAAAAGCTAGAGAGAGAAGAAAAAAGAAGAAATTATAAAATGAAAAGAACAAGACTGACCTTCAGACACCTTCCAGAAAAATCACTGTAGGGACACACACACACACACAAATATTTTAATTCTCATGATTGCAGTTGGTAAAATCATTAAGTGTTTTAGGTAAAAGGCTGTCTGAAGGAGGCTAGTTTCAAACTATTTCCCCTAATAAGACCAAAAAGGATGACAAAGCTACCTTCACCAAAGTTCAAAACCACCTAAACACTCTATAATATGAGAATGATTATGACCCCAATGTGGTACAATCTAGTCACTAAAAATAATTACGATGAGGCGCCAGCCCAGTGGCATAGTGGTTAAGTTTGCAAGCTCCACTGTGGCGGCCCGGGGCTCGGATCCCGGGCGCACACCAATGCACCACTTGTCAAGCCATGCTGTGGTGGTGTCCCATATAAAGTGGAGGAAGATGGGCACGGATGTTAGCCCAGGGCCAGTCTTTCTCAGCAAAAAAGAGGAGGATTGGCGACAGATGTTAGCTCAGGGCTAATCTTCCTCACAAAAAAAATAAATAAAAAATAATTATGATGAGTATACAGCAATATGGAAAGTCTCATGCTGTAATTAGTTAATTATTAAGAAGATACTAAATCCAGTGTTTTATCTACATAATGATCACAATGTTAAAATTAATTCATTTAAAAACAATTTTCTCCCATGCACTCATTCTGAAGTAGTTACTTGATGATGTTCTTCAAGAGAGAAAAGAGTGAGTAAAAGGGAGGAGGAAACTAACATAAGAGAGAAAAAGATATGAAATCCAGAAACAGTGAAATTAACCTAGTTAACTGTGCAGATTGTCCAGAAAATAAATTTAAATAGGAAATTAGAGGGCCCTGTAAAGAGGTATACATTGAGAAGGAAATTTCATCTGAATACTGTATGATTAAAAACCCAGAATGATTTAAATCTGTGAAAAAGGCATGTATCTCTTTTGTAAACAGGAAAACAGATCATTAGACTGACAGAAAAAGGAAACGGGTATATCAAGATCAAGATAATTTGATCTTGGAGAATTTAAGCCAGGGTAACAATATCAATAATAAAATAACAACAATCAATACTTGTTGGCTGTTTATTATGTGCTAGGCACTGTGTTATGTTTCCTTTATTATCTCATTTAATCTTCACAACAATCCTTTATTTTACAGATAGACAACTAAAGCACAGAATTTAACAATGTGCCCCAAGGTTATATAACTAGAAAGAGCTGACATAAAGAAAAGAGAAATCATTAACACTTTGGTATTCGTCTACATAGAAAATCCAGAAGTTCCTACCACAAAACTATTAAAATCAATAAAAAGTTCAACAACGATGCTGGATACAGATTGATATATATAAAAAAATTAATAGCCTTTTTATACAGCAGTCTCAACCATTTAGGAAAAAAAGTTTCTACTAATGAAAATAATTTATTCAAAATAGCAATAAAAAAGATACCTCAGAATAAATCTAAAAAAAGATATGCAGAATCTTCCAGGAGAGTTCAACTCTCCATTGATTAATTAATAACTTTAATGCAACTTCAGTCAAAAATCCCAAAGGATTTTTCTGGAGAGGAAGGGAAACTTCATAAACAGATTCATAAAAAACAAGAACACAGAGTCAAAAGAGCTAACACAATTTTAAGGAAGCATAAGAATGGGGCCCTGCCCTACTAGATAGTTACAACCTGTAGCATATGTAAGCCCTACTATAGATAGTATAGAAAAGTATACCTAGTATGTCATAGTGTATACAGTATGTACACATACCCACACACAAAGCTAGAATATTCAGAAAAGTATGGTAGTAATGCAGGGGGAGAAAAATAGATCATGGAATACAACAGAGATCAAGAATCATACCCGTCCCTATTTTATTTCTATTATACTTGTAGTGATACAATAAAAGAGTAAAACTAAATAATTCCACTAGATTATTAACTCGGATGCCCAACGTATATGTCTCTCCCGATATCCTGTGGCTAAGAATGCCCAGAACGGTGTTTTGTACACGGTAGGCACTGAGTTTCGCTGGCTAAAGGAAGCTGTGGCATTCCCAGCCGTGTCTTATTATTCCTTGGAACCAAGGCCACTAGGCTTAAAAACCCTACAAAAAGGCTGACCCAGGAGGAACAATGTTGTCAGGTTCCTTCATGGGATGGGGACCTCAGTCCATAATATGCACTCTCCCCTAATGCAGTCATTTATATTGAAGTTCCAGATTCTTCTCTGAGTGATGTTACTGTTTGCTAACACTTTGTGTTTGATTTATTGTTTTGAAAGCATCATGCAATACATATTTATTGAATAAACATGTGAAAGAAGGAAACAAACATGCATGGTGTTTTTAAAGAGACCGAAAAACAAGCACTTGTATCTTGTTTCATATTTATACCTGAACACAGAAAGAAACAATTAATTTAGCTTATTAAAAAATAAGAAGTGAAAAGAAAAGCTCAAACCTTTCAACTACTTCTATGTCAAAGCAGAATCGTTTGTCAATTGAATCTGTCTTTCGTCGGATACAAGATTTTAATTTAAACATTTCTGGTGAGCTAGTAACAAGGCCATTCTGAAAGGAGAAGTGGAACATGTTATTGACGTGATCATAGGGTGAACTGAAATTTATTAAATACACCATCTAATGTTGCTGAATTAAAATGTTAACTTAAACTACACGTTATATATAAAGGTCATAATCACACCCTGTCTTATAAATACAAAGACTCCTGCCTAACGTTAACTGCCCAATTATAACACATCAAATTGTTTATTAATAAATTAATTGCATACACATGTTTTATTCCAAGAATTCTGTGACATGCCTGCCTAGTACTCTTCAACACATTTACTTATAATGTTAACTTATACTATAATGTACATTCCCTTAGGACTTCAGATTTAGAAAGGGTGTGAAATTACAGAATTAACTATATTACCATTGGGTACACAGAATGCTTGTTAGGATACAACACTGTTGCTCTGAATCAAAATTCCCTCGATTTCTAAGAGATTAGCATCGTTCATGTGTGTGTGTGTCTTTATATTAAAGCCGTATAGTACTAAATGATAGCTGCTCAAAGTCTCAAGAGAGCTACCAAAATAATAAAGTGCTAGTATATACTTGCTATAGCAAGTATATATGCTCTTGCTACCATGCATACCATGTGATTCCTTTGCTAGTAACCAACTGCTAATTCTGCTACTAAAACTAAAACTCTTTGGACAGGATCCAATATAGGCTCAATTCATAAGAATTCTCTTCTATACCTGAGATGCCTGGTCAATTTTAAGGGGAATGTTTACCTAACGTCTGTTTAGTTCTATTATCTTGGTTGCAAATCTCATAGATTTATTAACAGAACTTTGGCTTGGTCTATTTGTTATTAGCTTACTGACTGTCACATAAACTCACTTTCGGGCAGTATCGTTTCTTATGAAACCTTTCGAGTAGAAACTGGGCGTGATTATAGCACTCAAATTCTCATGATGGTAGTGATCCATCTAAGGTTTTTTTCCTCTGGTATGTTCTCCTTTATTTTATTTCTCTCAGTTTGAATTATTAGACTCTACTGAATGCCCAAGCACAATAAGTTTCAACTTATATATTTGAGTATGTATCTGAGTTAGATCAACCTTTACCTCTGCCACAACCTATACCACAAATTAGCTGGGTGAGCCACTTACTTTCCACCATCTGTATTTTCGAATTTTTTAAAATAAGGCTGGGCTAAATAATCTTGAGGATAACTTGCAGCTCTAGGATTCTCAGATGATGGCCCCAATTATCTAACTCATAAGTTCAATTGTTGCCATATTCACAGCTTAACTCACAAAAAGATTATAAACTCCATGTAATAAAGGTGTTGCACTTTGCTGCACTTCCTCAAATACAGTACACCTTGTTCCACACTGTTCACTACCCATGCGAGGCATTCAGTGACCAATTTACTTTTGGGGTAAATGGGCATCAATTGATTTCTTCTGAGAAACTTTGTTGGCCAGCATTTCAGTAAACAGTACCTAGTACCTAGTGCAGAAGAGGAAGTCGACTGCAGGGGCAAACCCAGCCTCCCACAGAGGCCACCTGGGGGAAAGATGCAGAACCCCTGAGCCTGGGCCAGTGACTGACAGTCTCTGCTGGGCTGCTGGCCAACCTACAGCACAAACAACTCTGCTGCCAGGGATGTGAGATGACACCTCAGTGGCCTACTTAAGGGTTCCTACACCCAACTCAACCGCTTATAAACATTCCATGGCCAAGGTAAAGGAAAATCTGGGTCACTCTTTCCAAGTCATCAAGGTCACTAAAGTGAGAGAAAACTCTGACTTTTCCATTTTTAAAAATTGTGTGCATGTTTATTAGAAAAGGAAACACATGTCATTCTTTTGTTTTACTTCCGTTACCTAAATAACAGCTCAGTTAAAAAAAAAAAAAAAACAACTACTCACCATTTTCCCACTGGATTTCATTTCTGAAACACTCATTGTAAATGTTTTACTTCCCTTGTCATATGTACAATAATGTTTAATCCATGTAAAACCAAGTGGTCCTAATGTAAGGAAACAAACATTACAGGTTAACAAATGATTTGTAGCTAAGTTTGTACAGTTTTCAATGATACACAACTGAGTATTTCCATAGACCATGCCAGTCGGAACATGTACTGTGAGTGAGACAGGCCAGTGTGGAGGGAGAGAGTAGCGTAGAGAGTCCTGGAATCAAACTACTTAGCTTTACTTGCATCTCTGACACTCACTCTGCCACCTCAGGAGTTACTTTAGATCTGAACTCAGGTTATCTCATCTGTAAAAGCAGTATACTTATATCCCAGAGAGGCAGGAAGAATGAGAAATACTATAAGTGGTCTCCTTACTTCTACCTTTGTCCTCTATTCTCAACAAACTGCCAGAAATACCCTGCTAAACATATAGCCAGCTCATTTCATCCCTTTGTTCAAAACCCTCTGGCGGTTTCCCACATCATTCCAGATTAAAACCAAAGAGCCTGTCACTATGCACAAGACCCCATGTGATCTGGGCCCTCATTATCAATTTCATCTCACATCTTACTACCTTCTGCCTCATACACTCTGCACCAGCTACACTGGCCCCCTTGCTGGTAGTTGGACACAGCGAATGCATGTCTACCCCAGGGCATTTGCACTTGTTGGACTACTTCTCCTTCAGATATCTGCATGACTTGCACTTTCACTGCCTTCAGGTCTCTTCCTAAATGTCACCTTTATAATATGGCCTTTCCTATGGAGATAACATCGCAACACTCCCACCTTGATATTTCTTATCTCTCTTTCTGGTTCTACTTTCTTCTCAGCAGTCATCACTGTGTAAAATATGATAAATTTTACCAATTTATCCCATTTATTTATTGTCTGTCTCTGCCACTAGACTCTAAGGTTCTGTGAGAGCAGGAACATGCAATGTTCTGCTGACTAGAATATTCTTAATTGTTAGGACAGGGCCAGACATACAGTTATCAATAAATATTTGCCAAAGAATGAAGAAATGAATCACTCATCTTTCTCTAAGACTTTATTGACCTTGGAGTTATCTCCTCTGACCACTAATCTGAAAAAAATGAATTCAAATTACTCCTTAAAATGAAAATAATTTCCACTATTTATATTAAAAGTTGTATATGAATAACGCTCAACCTTCTTTTCCCCATAAATACTGTGCAACCCTTTCCCATAGCACATCATGTTACTGCTCAGAATTCTCCTTAAGGAATTGGATGCTGCTGCTTCACAAGGCATAGGGATGTACTATGACTTCAATTTTTCCATGACCAATGTGGAAGACCTTCAGTTTTCCCGCAGAGAAACCAATTATCCTGCACCCAAATGCCACAGTAGGCTGGGATGGTGAAAATGGAGCTTGTTTGCTATATAGCTTCTCCATCAAGGGGCCCATCCTGCTTAACACCTGTATCTTTTTAGCAACAATTGTGTACAATGTTATTGCTGGCTTGGTTTCATAACCATATATTTAAAAGCAAGAAATTGAAATGTAAAAGTGCACCTCTTGAGAGAAGTATTTCATGAGTCATCTGAATTTTTTTTCTGTAATAACAGTACCCTTAGTGTCACGTCTAGCTTTAATATTCAATCCACTCCATATTTTAAAATTACAGGGTGCAGCTATATACTTTGTAATCACAAAGGATTATTGCAATTAACTTCAGTTTTGTTTGGGGACCATTTCACACTATAATACTTAACAATACTTGTTGATAGTTCTGTTACACGTGATGTAAAATACCTAAGTGGCTGGATGGAAATCCTTATAGTGACTTTACTACTTAGGAAGCGATTTATGAAGCAATATAAGCTTTAATTTTTAAATGAAGCTGCTGCAATGCTCTGACGACATTTTAGACCTAAGATGTTTTTTCCTGCCTCCATCTTAAGTTAGAACCTCATGCATTTAATCTTCAAGTTTGCTGCACACACATGCTGCTTTATTTAAACTTGCCTGGCACTAGGCCAGGGCAGATGTTCTCAGACAAGCTATTCTGAAGTCCCTAAAAAAAAGGCCTGGGAAAATAAAAATTTATTACAGCTCTAAAGTTACAAAATAAAACAAGTTTAATTATCTTACCCAGTAATCTGAGGTTGCTGAGATGATGCTTGTGGCACAGGAGGGAATTAACATTTACTGAACACCTACTTGGTGCCAATATCTTATCTAGGAAGTTTTAAAGCCAGACATTATAAAGAGCATTTTTCATATAAGAAAATAGAGTCTAAGGGGCCGGCCCAGTGGCCGGTTAAGTTCGCACACTCTGCTTCGGCGGCCTGGGGTTCACAGATTCCAATCCCAGGCACGGATCTACGCACCACTCATCAAGCCATGCTTGTGGCGGCATTCCACATACAAAACAGAGGAAGTTGGGCACAGATGTTAGCTCAGAGCCAGTCTTCCTCACCAAAAAAAAAAAAAAAAAGAAAGAAAGAAAGAAAGAAAATAGACTCAAAGAGCTGCAGATGGTACTACGTTCTTCATCAATAGGGCACGTGATTGGAGTTATTCTTTTTAGAGGTACACTATTTCTCAAGAATTGTTTTAAGATTAAACGAGATAAATATAAATTGTACAGAACAGTAAGGGCTCATGGTAAGCACAGTTATTATGCATCATTATCAATAATAGAGACATTTTACATACATTATCTCTAATTCTTGCAACACTGTTATGAGATAGGTATAAATATCTGTCTCTTATAAATGAGGAGACTGAGCTCAGAAAGCTGTTTGCCCAGAATCACCCAGTTAATAGGTGGCAGGCACAGAATTCCAACAAAATTCTGCCTGAATCTGGAACTCATGCTCTTCCTGGTTAAACTGAAGTCTACTAGAATGCAACTTAATTTCTGCCTAGAGGTGGGTAAGGTAAAAGCCACATAGCCAGTTAAACTGGAAATCTGTATCCAAATTGCAATGATCTGCTACCACCCCATCACATCCATCTTTACCACTCAACTGACAGCTCTGCCTTTACTATTGACCACTGGTCGCTGACAGCTCTACCTTTACTATTGACCACCGGTTGCTAACTGCATGAGTTTGTCTTGTGCCTTCCACTACAGAATAAACACCCTGAAGCCACATTCTTCATCTCATTTTCTGTTCCCAATAGAACTTATTCATTCAGCAAGAGCAAGAGCACAATCAATACATCTTAGTGAGCTGGTCAGATTTTCTTACTATATAAGCTTTCAAAGATTCCAAGTAGAAAGGGGCTTTGAATATTTGTCCCTTATATAAAAATAATTCCAATGGCATATAAATCTATTCATTTTTCTGTTTCAATCCCTAGGAAAGGGGAAGGGGGATGATGGTGAGTGGGAAAAGAAAGGAGGGAAGGATTATATTGGGGCATGAGAACACTTTTGAAAGTGATGAGTATGTTCATTATGGTGATCGTAGTGATGGTTTCACAGGTACACGGCACAACTTATCAAACTGTACATTTTAAACATGTGCAATTTATTGTATGCCAATTGTACCTCACTAAAGCTATAAAAATAATGCAGGCAGATACACAGAAAATTGAGATGAAAAGTGTCTTGGGAGCAGGAAGACAACATCATAAGGGAGGATGCTAAAAAAAAGAGGAGTCGTCCAACTGCGAGAGCTTCAAACGCCACACACGGGCCCTCACCGGAGGGGCACAACAAAGCAAGCATTACAAAGGGATCTGCTGGAAGCTCTGTAGAGAACAGATTGAGGTGGACAAGTCTGCAGGCTAAAAGAGAACAGTTAGGAGGCCATTGCAAGACTGTGGAGACGGAGAGAAGGTGCGGGTTTAAAAGTGATCAAGGAGATAAAATGGACAGATGTGGCCCCAGGCTACAGAGAGACACTAGAGTTAAAGATTTAACTGAGTTTTGTAACCTAGGAGAGTGGGTGGTGTCATTTAGAGAGACAAGAACTCTCAGAGGAAAGGTCAGTGTCACAAAGGGCTTTACGATCAGTTCAGACTGACCCAGAGAAGTCAGGTATCTTAGCACAAGACACCAACATCAGATACGCGCATAAAACACTGCATTTTGTCCATCCATGCAGTCCCCAAATTATTAAAGGATCTATGCTTATAGTTTGACCCAAACGTCCAACAACTGGGGAATGGGTAAGCAAACTGTGGCACCATCCAATGGATGGACTACCAGGTAGTGATTGAATATGACATATTTGAAGATAACGTACAAAAGAATTTTGCTACCTCCTCTACCAGATGCATGTTTGAACAGGCCTCACTATCAACAAATTCTCCCCCTCAGCAAAATCTTTTATTGATACAAAATGTGAGCTCCTCTCAATGTACCTTTACACTGAGGCTCTCAAATCTCAAATAATTATTCTGTATTCAAAAATTTCCTTATAATCCTGAGTCAAATCCATACACCCTGTAGTATATGACCAAAGAATTGGTCTTTTTTCATCACGTTGTGGTGAAAGCTATTTATTACACTCCAATTATAGAGCAGATAGGCAGGTCATTAGATTTATCATTTTAACATCTGAAAACAGCAGACTGGTCAAAATAGATAGGAGAGCGAAAATCCTGGAACCCAGATCTGCTGAGCTAGCAGCCCTCTGCCTTCCACTCCTTGCAGTAACAAATGTCTGCCAAGTCCATTGTATCAAATGGTTATTTGGTTGTATACTGATATCCAATAAACAAGCATTGCCTGGGCATGTCACATATAAAATGTGTTGGCATTTTAGTGATCATGCTGCATTATGTCAAAAATGTTTACAGCCAATCCGATACCTCCAGCTTCTGCATCTCAAACCCTTTAACTATAATATCTTACTAACCAAAACAATGTCATTAATTTATTGCCTACCAACAGGGAGACTTCAAAGCAGTGCTACTCCATGTGGTTTGTGAGTCCCAAGATACGAGAAAAAGTACACAAAGCGAGAAAAAGCATTTCAAAACTTTTACAGCAATTCGACATCACCGCAAAATCCAAGCGCATGATTTTGTGTTTTACAAAGACACTGGTCCATGATGGATTGGAAATAAAAACACCTGTTCTTTACCACAACAGTATGAGAATGGTGCTTTAGAGCATATCTGGTTCAAAACAGAGTTAATTTAGTCAGATTGGTTCCATTTAATGACAAGTATCACACAGAAAGGACCTTAGTTATACAAGTTTGAATGGCTTTTTATTAATTTTTGTGAGAAAAACTTTCTGAGCATGAGGCAATTATAATAGTGCTTTATTAGGTCTGATGCTTATTTCCTAACCTCAGGAAGTAAAGCATGCCAATTTAACATTACATAATTGCCAATTTTACTCCTGAAAACTGACAAAGCACAGAATTAAGTGAAATAATGCTGCTGGAGGGGAAAACTATTATCATAGTCACCAGGATAATTCATCCTGATAAAGGCTTTGATTTTCAGTTTTCCATGAAACTTCAAATTGAGATTAGATATCACAATTAAATTCTAAAACTGAACTCATGGTACCACATCATCAGTGATGGTTGTAAGTTCCAAGTTCAATAACATACGAACTTAGAGATCCTGATGGGGAAATGTGGAAAAACTTCCTCACTTTGGTGGTAATGGAGATAGAGCAAACTAAATATGATAAAAATGTAAGGAATTTCAGCCTTCCTACTTGAAGGGAAAAATGCCAATCAAGGCACATCTCACGAAAACAGAATGTTAACCACAAGACACATTAAGTTACATCACTGTGACTCACGTTTCTCCTGGACATACAGATAGCCTTCCATCGTCCACTGGCTGGGTGGTCTGTAATCCTGGTTGGCAGATTTCATCCTCTGCATCAACCGCTCTACCTCTTGTCGAGTGCTTTCAAAATTATTCCTTGTCTTAAGTAAACAGAAACAACAATTTCATTCATTGTTTCCTACCAGTTTTGAGGAACCCCCAGCCTAAAGTTTCCAAACTACAAATGGTGCAAAGGATAACCTTGATTCTTTCAGCACGCTTCACCACATCCAGGACCCTCTATGTTGAGTCCCATGGTCTGATTTTTGAATTGCTTTAGTGAAACTTCTCTGAATAACCTTCTGCATGTTTCTCTTTGAACCGTGTGTGTGTGTGTATGTGCGCGTGTGTGTGTGTCTTTCTTCCTATTTCCCACTCTAATATTAATATTTAGGGGGAAAATTAGAGCATTTAAAAATATGTAATATTTACTAAGTAGAGTTTTATATTCACTAATACCTAAGGTAAAAAAGCATATAAATAGGGACTTATATTTCTTGGGGGTGGGGGGGTAAAAACAAATTAAATTCACACACTTTTGATATACGTGGCACTTATTAAGAGTTCATCACCCCTATTCCAAATACTTTTTTGAAGAAACACCACTTCGCCTGGTTTCCAGAAATCTTAATATAATTAATAAGAGATCAGTATATAAATTAACTCATAAAAATGAATAGGTTTCCAGGTTCTAACTTCTATTACAAGAAATAGTTTACTCACATTACAGCAAGTTTACTTGAGGTAAGACATAGACAGCATAATGCTTTTCTCTATGAAAATCTCTTTTGCATTCAGGCCACATTACCTCAACAATATGTGTTTGGAAACATAAAAATCACCACCACCTAACTCTAAGATTTTATTACAGCTCATAACAAAAGAACTGAATCTTTTCTGTAAATTAGGAAAATTTTACTTGCCATGTTTGCCACTTTTCTCTTTTAAACATAAAAATCAAATGTTTACCAATTCCTTACCCCTCTCCTGTTCTTGAATCCCAGGAATCAAATTATAGTTGCATTTAATATGGAAATAAATCATAAAAATACTTTGGCTTTTATAATTTTCCCTTTTAATATTTACTGAAAAAGCCTAAGTGCATTCCATATTGAAAAACAATGGAATGAACTGCATGTAAAATCGATTCTGCTAGAAAATCTAGATTAAATAAAAAAGCTAAAACTCAAAACACAGTAGAACAAATCCAATTACATATTTCTCATGGGACACTCCAACTCCATAGTTCTCTTTACTGTACATCTCCACAGTGGCAAGAATCAGATAAGCAGTGAACGACAAGCTTTTTACAGACAACCAAGTGATAGCTTTCCAAATTATTTTGGCTATAGAGTACTAAACAGTTAGCATTTCAGAAATAACTTTTCATTTATACAAAACCCTCAACAATTAGGGCTTCATTATTTGTCAGGTTTGATAATGCAGAAATGGATTGGCTAAATTTTTCTTTTTTTTTACGTTAAGTGGTGCCCAGCATCTGCAAATCAGAATTTGTATAACTATGCAATCAGGTATTAAAAAAATTATTTAGACAACTTTACAAAACAAGCCCTGACAACAATAGATAGGAAGTTTGTAAATAATTCTCATTTAAGCTTTAAAACAGTTATTTTTGAATGCTTCAAAACAATGTTCAAATTTATTATTTGAAAATAATAAATATCAGACATATTATATAGAATTTCAGAGAGGGACAGGATCTTAGAGTGCTCAAGTACAACTCCTTCATTTCACAGATAGAGAAATGCCATCTTCTCAGAAAATAAGACTTGTCTAACGTCACTCAGAGAATTAATGAGAACACTGCATAAAGACAAAAGCTTCCCAACTTCCAAGTGTCTACACCTCAGTAATATTTATTTTTATGAAATTTGCCAGTATAAATTTTTCTACCATAAGATTAGCTCTTTCCTGGTGTACTTTCAACCAGCAGCTAACAACAACAACAAAAAAATTAATAAATTTACAATGTGGCTTTTCTAAATGAGTGAGGTTTTACTGCACTTAGATAAGTCTTTGAAAGACTCCAAGGTTTGGCTTGGTTATAACTTAGTTGCCCTGTGATCACCTGATTCACTAGGAGAGGCAGTGAGAACAGCTAGAGTCTTACATTCTGCAAGTTGAACTGCAGCTGCTGCTTATATGGCGCAAATTCCTGGGCAAGTTCATATCCCTCGTGGTAGAAAGTAAATAAACCTTGAAGGAATGACAAAAGCTGCAAAAATAAAGAGATAAAAAAGAAACGATGAAAACATACTGAAAAAAATGATGATCACCAAATATAATAAGTTGGAGAAATTATATTTCATTCTAATTCCTCAGGCTAATAAATTTCCAATCTCTTTGTTCGGCAAAGTAGGAATTAGAATTATACATGTGAAACAGAAACCACGAAAGCTAATTTTTACTTCCTTTTTGGGACACAGTGATTACATTTTTGAGTCTTGTCATGGGCAGCTGTCATGTTAATTTCTCTAATATTCAAATGCATTGAAGGGATATCCAGGAGAGACCATTAATGGGGATAAAGACCAAAGTGACATAGGTCCTGTCCTCGAAGAGCTTCTAACCAAAACAGGGAGATACAACATGTGAGGATGTGAGGAAGACTAAACCAGTAAAGTAGAGATAAGAAGTATCCAAGCAAAGGAATAAAGATTAGGCCGGATGAAATTACAGCAAATATCACAAGGTGGCACTACTGATTTGGGTACTGAATAGACAACATTTTAGCAAGGAGTGGGAAGAATTCAAAACAGAGGAAAAAGTTAAGCAAAAACCTGGAGCTAGATACACACCTTTCACGTAAGAATAAAATCTTCTTTAGAAAATCACAATTTCTATGATCCTAGCTTTCTAATCCCAAATTCATACGTGCTTATTTATGATGTTCTTATTTGTAAAGAAAGAGTGGCTCTCCGTGGAGTTACAGAACACAGTTGTTTATATGGAATAAGTTATAAATGAAAAGTAATTTATTCAAATTTTTTCATTTAATTCACTGAGATTTTATTCCACAGACTTGTCCACCAATTTGATCTCTTCCTACAATAAAGTTAGAAAATATTTTTGAGAAGTGGCTAATGTTGTTCTAATTCAACCAGCATAATATGTCTGTAAGCTATTATTTTAAGTTAAAGAAGAAACACAATTTGAAATCATTTTCATATGTGAATAACATCTTGTTACTTCCTCTCTCTGGGGAAGTAGGGGGATTCAGCTAGGCATCAACTGGTATGTGTGTTATGATTTCCAGTAGATAAATACCGGTTCTATCTGAAAACAGCGACCTAATGCTTTGCTTCCTATAACAAGTCAACTTCTTACAAAGCTTTGTTCATTTCAGAAAGCATATAGGTACTTTAAAATTGGTTTTAAGTTGTTATATTTTAGAGATTTTTCTTCTGTTACTCAATAGTTTCTGATAATGTGTCAAAATGTATTGCTTGCCAATTTTAGAATTATTTTACCCTGTCAACTTTGCATCAATTGACAATTATTATCAAAACGAAATATTCAATAGATTATCCTCTACCAAAATGATGCTATATTTGTCAAATTACACAATAATTTAAAATATATAGTCTGCATATATTGTGGTCTAATTAAAAATAACTATCTTAAAACAGGATTGAAAAATACTTTTAATTAATTCAGGCTTGAATAACGTGGATTTAGAGGTTTTCAGAGACAAACTAAGAAAATACTTTTGGAGTGTATAGACAACACTAGTCTTCTAAATATCCGAATAACAGTTTAGGAAGTTGTTAGGAGTATTGTTTCATGTTTTAATGTCTATCCTTAGTCCACAATTAAACTGTTTTATTATGAACCGGATGCTATACAAGGAAGATGCTACTCTAATATCATCCTAAATACAAAGAATTTAATTAAAATTATGAAGAAGATACATATTTGAAGAATATCTGTAATAAATCTTCCTATAAAACATCCAATTCTCCAAGATTCATCTAAATAAATAAATTTATTGGCATCTTCTAGCAGAATCCAGATTCACTTAGTAGCAGACAACTATGTTTTAATCTCACAATGCATGCTGAGCACCCACTAGGGAAAGCACAATCCTTTGAAAGGTACAGAAAAGTTACATACAAAGAACCAGACACCTTTTCCTTTTGTTCCACATTTGCTTTGGGCGCAGCTTTGGGAAAGTTTAATCAAGACAGCATGTATGAAATAACTGCCTCTAGATGGTAGCAAAGTTAAACATTTTTTACATATAAATACTCTAGTTCATTTTATCCTCAACAAATTCCATGATGCTAAATTAAGGGAACTCACTAGGACAGCCTGAAAATCTTTAAGAATTGCATTTCCCATGTCACTTTCTTTGTTCAATCTGCCTGAATAGGTGGAGTGATGTGGAAAAGACTGTTGGCTCAGCTTGCCTTAAAGAAAGCCTGCCCTTTAAAATAATAACAATACCAATAACAACTACTACAAACTACTAGATAGACAGATTAGGTTTTAATATTAATAAAGTCACTTATATAACCCGGAAAAACTTATAACACTTTATTATTTCCGAGGGTTTTAGAATCAAATTACTATTTGTCACTCCAATAATCTGACCAAATGTAAAAACTGATACTGCACTTATAAATAAATAATCATTTAGCAAAATTCATTCAAGTGAGCAAAGGAATAAATATTCATAATTTCCCAGCCCATTAACCACCAGGTTTCAAGCCTTAAAGGCCCACTGTTACTAGTGATACTGTGAATGGCAGAGAAAAGTGAGAAGAGGAGTTGAGGCTAGCATGGGAGTGAGGGGAAGAACCCCAAAGCAATTGACGCACTAATTCCAGGACTGTTGCCCAAACTGAACAGAACAACTGAAATGTGAAGGCTCTTACAATGAGGTGATTCATTCCTTCTCTCCTAAAAAATTAATCACAGAAAATTTTTAAAAATCTATAGAACTAATAAACCAAAAAAAACCTAGAACTAATAAACAAGTGCAGCAGGGTTGCAGGATACAACATCAGTTGTATTTCTACACACTTGCAATGAACAATCTGAAAATGAAATTAACAATTCCATTTACAATAGCTTCAAAAGAATAAAATACCTAGGAATTAATTTTTAAAAAGTAAAAAATTTATAATTTGAAAAATATAAAATATCGCTTAAAGAAATTAAAGAAGGTCTCAGGGCGGCCGGGTGGCGCAAGCGGTTGGGTGCGCGCGCTCTGCTGCAGCGGCCCGGGGTTCGCCAGTTCAGATCCCGGGTGCGCACCGACGCACCGCTTGTCAAGCCATGCTGTGGCGGCGTCCCATATAAGGTAGAGGAAGATGGGTATGGCTGTTAGCCCAGGGCCAGTCTTCCTCAGCAAAAAGAGGAGGATTGGCAGATGTTAGCTCAGGGCCGATCTTCCTCACAAAAAAAAATAAACAAAGAAAGAAAGAAGGTCTAAATAAAAGGAAAATATTTCACATTCATGGATTAGAAAAATTAATATCGTTAAGATGGCAATACTCTCCAAACTGATGTGCAGATTCAATGCAACTCCCAGCAGAAGCCCAGCTAACTTCTTTATAATAATTGACAAGCTGATTCACAGGGAATTGCAAGGGACCCAATCAGTCAAAACAATCTTGAAAAAGAACAAAGGAGTTAGACCCAGACTTCTTGATTTCAAAACTTAATACAAAGCAACAGTAACAAACGCTGCATGACATCGCCACGAGGATAGACATATAAATCAATGGAAGAGAACTGAGAGTCTAGAAATAAACCCTTACTTCCACAGTCAACTTTTTTCCAACATCAGTGCCAAGACCATACAACAGGGAAAGAATAGTCTTTTCAAGAAATGATTCTTGGAGCACTGGAGAGTCACATGTACATGGATGAAGTTGGACCACTACCTCACATCCTAAACAAAAATTAACTAACAATGGGTGAATTTTATGGTATGTGAATTACGTCCCAAAAAGGCTGTTTTTTAAAAAATAAAAATACATCCCAATAAGGCTGTTTTTTAAAAAACAAAAATAAATACTCCATACCCAGAGCACCATAACACACTAAAAGATATCAAAATCCTATGTAGACCTTTACACATGGCCACTGAACACCCCTAAGGAGATTGGAAAAGTGGACCAAAGGCATCAATTTTCACCCTGTGCAAGTGTCAGGCCTGAGAGTTAAACCTATAGTCTTCACCACTCCTTATCTGGAAGAAACTTAGAGATAAACATCTGAGGATAGCCTCAAAATGACTATACTGTGCTTTAAGTCTAATGCATAGAGATTCAGAGGAGTTTACTGAATGGAAATAAATGACTATCAAAATCTAACCAAATAAATGAGAAAATTGAAGAGGAAAGAGAGCCAAGGATGGAAAGAAGCCAGTCAACTATGGCCTGCGTTGACAACTTTTAACAGAGGATGATGAAAGAGCAAATGAATGAATAGACAGCTACGTGCATAGATTCAATTACTTTTAAAAAGTCAAAACTTTTTGACGTCATGGCTATATATTGCCCCAGCAGTGAAGAATGACTGGAGTTCCTGAAGGCAAATCTCTGAGCATTCAAGGGGATGGAATTCATATGAGGTGGCTGGAGGTAAACTTCCATGGCAAAGAAACAGAAGCAACAAAGAATAGTCAGCTTATATTTTCAGCTCAATAAGAATGAAAAAAGTAATGTAGTCAACAAGGTGATTAAAATCCAGCAGACGCTACACTCAGACCAGGTCTTTACATCACTGATTTCTAAAACGAAATTCAAGGAGATGAGTCAGCCAAACAAATACAATGTATTTTTCTTACTTTTCCAAAATTCTATTCACTATTTAACTGCTGCTACAAATTTCAGATTTTCAATAACAGTACCTAGAACAAAATCTAAGGACCAATACAGATTTTATTTTCAGATATATGACCTGAGGAGAGGTTTACTGTTTCATTTTTATAGAATGATTTTGGTTAGGGTTTTCAGCAGGATAGAAATTTAACCTTTGGGCCTACAGAGTTTTTAAAAAAGTGACATTGTCTTATTTGCTCATTTTGATTTACCCTAAATTAAATTTTCTATATTAAAGCTAACCGATCATATTGAAAAAGAACACAAAAAAGGTTTAACTTGTAAGACCTGCAGGTTTACATACTGACAGACTTTTCTAACTTAGCAAGAAGCTATTATTTAGTCTCAAAATTATCAAACTTTTCTAGAGAACACAAAAAGTATTTTACAGTATACTTTATGACATAATAAGCTAAAGAGCTAAAACATATTAAGCAATTAAAGAAAAATTTTCTTCAGCAAATAATTTAAAATTAAATTTAGCAGACCTAAGGGAAGAATATCAAAAGCGGTGTATTTTAGTTTATATATAACGGTTTATTTTCATTTCCATATTAATTTTAAACATAATACAAAAAGATTAAGTCTAAAAAGAATAATATGAAAATGCTCTTACAGAATTTAGATGCATATTTAGAAGCATGTGAAAATTAAAAATGTGTTTTTGAAAAAGCTACCTCTGGCTTTGAAGCCATGCTAATAAATACAATCATCAATATTGTTTTCATATGTAGGGATAACAGTCCACGTAAAAGCACACACTAGCTGACACCTTATTGATGCTAACTATGCACCAGCTAACGCACACTTGCTCTGTGTGTTACCTACATTGATTGAGTCACACCACAATCCTGGGAACTACATACAATTTTTATCCCCAATTTACAGATAAAGACCTGAGGCACACAGAGTTTGAAAACTATGCCCAATTTGCATGGCTATAAAGATTGGAGCCAAATTCCATCTTATTTCCAATCACTTGGCCATTATACTTCTCTGTCTCTACATGGAAAGTGGCCTGTCACCTGTGGCCTGGGGAGACAACTTTTAAAATAGGATGATCCAAGAAGGATGGAAGAACAAATGAATGCATGGGCCCATATGGGCATTGATTCAACCACCTTTACCAAAGTAAAGATCAATCTTTTATTGTATTCTTCTAATTTTAAGGACTTTAAATAGCTTTACAATAAAATTTGCTAGGGTCATCCATTTTATTTGGTCAGAGTAAGTATTACAAAGGACTAATTTTTGTAGTCAAGTAGCCATTGAGGCAGTAAGTGGTATTGCACAGTGACTTCAGATTTGAGTTCTGGATTCCTGGCTCTCCCCTTCTTGAGGTTTGTGACCTCAGGCAACTAACAATCTTTCTATGACTTAACTTCCTCATCTAGAAGGATAACAATTACCTAATAATAAAGCCATCGTGGGGTTTATGTGAGACAACGCAGAGAAAACATATAGCAAGTAGTAGTTGCTCACAAAATGTTAGTCCCAACTAAGTATGCTCAAAGGATGTAATCAAAACATAGCCAAACTGTAGCTGGATGAACCATAAGGGAGTGAAGTCGTAAAAAGATTCTTTTGGTTTTCTGAGCCACATACCTTCGTGTACCATAATACACTTCTGATTCACTAGGGCTCAGCTCTCTTATGCAAGCTGTTCACGTTCAGAGTACTTCTCAGACTTTTTCTCTTAATCACCAAAATTCTCATAAGTTCCAGGCAACTCTGAGAAGTAGGAGGGTCTTAACGATCAAGAGTCAGGAGATGATGTGTCTCCCCGTCTCTTTCCCCCATTACAGACCTGAACTCATACACCTTGTTGGCAAATAGGAAAGGATGCAGTCTCGCACTATTTGACAGCAACAAAATGTGAACCACAAATGAAAATCAACGTGAAATTTTAAATTTATTAGTAGGCACATAAAAAAAAATTTAAATCAAGTAAAATTTAATATTTTGTTTAACACAATATATCCAAAATATCATTTCAACACACAATCAACATAAAGAGGTTTTAACGAGATATTTTACACTTTTTTTTCATACTAAGTCTTTGCAATCCAATATGTATTTCACACTTAGAGCATATCTTAATCTAGACTAGCCTCATGTCAAGTGCTCAATATTTATTGTGGGTAGTTGTTACCACGCTAGGTAGTGCAAGTCTAGAAATCACCAGTTAGCTACAATCACTTTCCATATAAAATGTGATAAATGAAAAAAGAAAAAGGCCATTAAGACTATAGAGCTAATGAAGATTTGAGTTAAAAAGCTGATTTTCTATATACAAAATAACATAGCTTATTTATAAAAAAATATGTAAATGTTCCCTCTTTTTCCACATATTATACCCAGGTTCCCCTGAACTAATGACACTGTAGGAATATTTATTCCTAATATCACCTGAATATTCTGTAGAAATTTTATCACATGCAGTAGGATCTTGACATTATTTGAAACAATGTAAAATTATCTCAAATGTACTATCATAAAGTAATGTTATTTAATGCCAATCACCATCCCCTATTTACATTTTCTGCTTGATCTTACAATCTGTGTAAGAGAGGTCCTATCCCTAGGGCATTTTGCTTTACTTTAATGCTTATTTATTACATAAATCGGGGCTAAAACCAGAATAAACTGCTAGATTTCTGCAATATGAAACAGTAATGCAACAGGAACTGGATTTCTGCAGAATAAAAACTGCAAAAATATTAAAATGTCCTCATATGTTTTTATATTTATAGCTCCTCGGAGCTTTGTTTTGAAATTTTAAAAAACTTTTTCCTCCAAATTAGTGTGTAAATGCATAACCTAAAAAGCACCATGTCCATGTTTCATTGCTCCCATTTCTATTCTTCTCATTACTGAAATGGAAATTCAGTAGAATCCCATGGATGAGACTTTGTGGCTAGAAACGAGAATGAGACTAAACTGACGGTACTATGTAGTTTGGCCAGACATTCTAATAGGAAAAATACAGCAGCCAAGAAAATATTTTGGAAGAAGGACAAATTTAACATTGATTTTGATTGTGGTGTCACAAGAAAGGCACGCATTACAGAAGACTTATCAGACCATCCCAGTTTGGGATATGGTAGAGGTAAGAAATTAAATACATTTCAATTGAAGGACAGTTTCCACATGTCTATGTGTATTATGACAGGAGTTCATAAATTCTTATCATTCCTTCTGTCATGTGTGAGCAAATAATTTTACAATCTTCTCCTTCTATACCTGATGTCATCTTACTGAATGGTCTAGTTCACTGTTCCCAGACAGAATGGGCTATAAAACAGGCTTAGATGGGGAAACAGGCTACCTGCATGTCCCTCCAGAAGAGAGAGAGGTATTACGGATTTGAAAGGACCATTCCAGGTGTGAGGAATAACCTCATAGTAGATGAGCAGAGTATCTAAAGGGAATGGGATCAGGGAAGGAAGAAGTACCAAGGAAAACCATCAGAATTAATGGGGATACTCTAACAGGTTAGCATCAAGAAGAGCTAAAATTCAGAAATCCTAAGAGGTAGACCCTAAGGAGGAAGTTTGCCAGCAAGTAGAGAGGCTTCAAAAACCATCGTAGGATTCAGAGGCAGGACTTAGTCCTTGAGAACGGGACTAGGAATTTTAAGTAGTGGTAATCTTCCTAGATTAGGGGTTGTTAGGCTGACCAGTTGTCTGTGAACCCCATATGAGTTTCAGAAGGCCCCCTAAAAAATAAGTTAGATCAGATCCTCAAAGTGTCTACCAAATAAGAGGTTACCAATTCATTCTAAGAGGTTTAAGTTTAAGGACTTAGCTGGTTGGCAAATAGAACTTGGAGTCAAGACTCTTATCCCAAACAAAAGGTGAAAATTAAATCCCTGAGCCTGCACTGTGGCCTCCAGTTCCTTAAATCCCTCTCACTGAAGGGTTGGTCTTATAAACTTGCCAAGTGCCCAGTTTACAGAAGAGAGTCATGTGGCTCCACCTGAAGGCAGAGGAGTGAAGCAGAGGTGCTGGGAGCCAGGCAGGGACTCATAACTCTTCCCAGCCTCCACTCTGTCTCCATTTCCCATCATTTTTAGGGAATCACTGATGGGTTTCCATCAGGTAATGAATGCTGTCAAATCCATTTTAAAATGTGTCTTCTCTTCTCCCCATCACCTCCACTAAAATAGGATCATGGTATTTTATTTATTATAAACAGATTTTTTTTTTTTACAAACTGACATAAGAAAAGTATGGCTTAAATTATATTTTTAATTACTTATGTATTTTACTATCACTGTCCTCTTATCTCATGGGAATTGAGCATCATAAATTAACAGAAAATTATCTTGACTACAGAACTTACCTTTATTCATCACAGATGATGCCTCGTGAAGATGCCTGCTCAGGCGACATTGTAACATATTAAGGTACTACTTGAGGGAAAAACGCTAAGAAAATGAAGTAAGCTTATAAAGACCAGCCACCTGTTCTGTTCTGTAATGCAGTTTACATTAGAGAATCTAATACTTTTTGCCCTGACTTAGGAAAATAAATGACTTCACTGGAAAATCAGGCAAGTCCTAGCCTTGCAAAAAAGCAGGGTGGAACAAAGAGAGAAATACAGCCTGACGTTTTCTCCCTTCAACTAAAGTTTGGCAAATGGGTCACTTTAGCGGTGAGGTGTATTCACTGAGGTATTTGTAAGTTAATGTACATCCTTCTATTTTTAATTTTTTTAAATTAATAGACTATTTTTATAGGAGTTTTAGGTTTATGGAAAAATTGAGCAGAAATTATAGAGTTCCCATATACCCCCTTAGCCCCTACCCACAGTTTCCCCTGTTACTAACATCTTGCATTAGTGTGGTACATTTGTTACAAATGATTACTGAATACTGATACATTATTAATTAAAGGCTACAGTTCACATTAGAATTCACTCTTGGTGTTGTACATTCTATGGGTTTTGATGGGTTTTATATTTGATAAATATATGACAAGTATCCACCGTTACAGTATCATATAGAATAGTTTCACTGCCCTAGAAGTGCCCCGTGCTCCACCTGTTCACCCTCCTCCACTTCTCCTGCCCCTTTTATTTTTAAAAATCATAATTTTCAACAGAAAAACTAAGTTTTTTTCCATAGGGTGTATTAGACCTACCATTTTATAGGGAAACTAAAACTTACCGGTTCAACAAATTCAAACTTCTTTTTTTCTTGGACCTCTTGAATTTTAAAGACATATTCTAGCGATGCTTCATAGAAGTTTTGATGTTCTCGGTCAATCTGTGTATCTGCCTAAAGAGCACAAAAAGGCAAAGCATGACAAAGGGAGTGATTATTGATGGTTCTGTTTAAGAGAGGGACTCAAATCCTGTTCTACTGTGAAATCTTTAAAAATTAAGTCCCGCAAAAAGTTTTAATATAGCAATTATTATGTCCTGAGAATACAGAGAATAGGAAAACAGTCCTTGCCCACAAGAGCTTATAGTGTATGGAGTGCGAGGAAAAAAAAACCTCAGAGTAAGCTTACAACATTCAGTACATTTTAAAAAGTACAGTCATGCACCACATAACGATGTTTCAGTCAATGACGGACCGCACATACAACAGAGGTCCCATAAGATTAGTACCATGTAGCCAAGGTGTGTAGCAGGCTCTACCCCCTCGGTTTGTGTAAGTATACTCTATGATGTTCAGACAACGATGAAATCATCTAATGACGCATTTCCCAGCACGTATCCCCTTCGTTAAGTGATGTATGGCCATTATAAAAGAGACACATAAATGTAAATGAAAATCTATGGGATCATAGAAAAAGAGACTAAGTTCTGGGAGAAAATGGTGGTGGTTTGAGTTGAATCTTAAGTTGAACAACTGGCAGTGAACAGTCAAAGAGAAAAAAGGGGTTACTCCCATGAAAAAGTAAAGAGGCATGAAAGACTTTGACTGAGTGGCTACAGAGTAAACAAGTGGAGGGAAGGAAGGAGAAGTAAGGCTGGCAACACACTATAACAGATCTTGAATACTGCATAATAAATTTGGATTTTAATTGAGGAAGAATCATCTGCGAATATTAAGCAGCAGAACCACATCATTAGGTAAACTCTCAGAAAGATAATACTGGAACAGAGCCAAAAAAATTCAAAGGTTCTAACCCAATGAATCATGCTCCAGCAATGTCATGCACATTTATTCTTTATAACTGCCATAAGGTTCTATTGATAAAGTGTGGGAAAAGGGTTATCAGATAATTTCATTTTCTTTTTGATGTTGCTTCTCTCCCCTCTTCTGTGCCCACTATCAATCTGTGGATGCCCTCTTTAAAACTGACTTTGGTTTAGTAGAGAGTCATGATTTTACTTTCCTTGCCCAGTTTCACACTCCTCACTGCCAGCTGAGATTACTAAAAGCAGATAAAAAGAATGGACTTTCCGGAATACTAAGTATCCGCCAACAACAATTTGGAAATCGAAAATTGCTTTGGAGCCATTCTACAATGATAATTTCACAAACAAAAGCTTAAAAAAAAAAGATAAAATTAAGTTTGCTGACTCTGACATCATAACATCTTAAAAACTTCATTTGAAACACCTTTAAAAATAATTATATATACTTACTACTTGCCATGCCCTTATTTATATAATTAAAAATAACCCAATATATCATAAGCAACTCAGTAGGGATTTTTAAAGTTAAGAATTCCAAGTTTCTAAACCAATACATGAGAAAAACATATCACGTAGAAAATTTGGACCAGAAGCTTCTCAGCTCCCAAAGATTGTTTGGGAAAGATATACATACCAACAAAAACAAAATCAGTATTCTACACAAATCATACATATTTTCTTCTCCCCACTGGTTAAAGGAACACAGTATTTATAGAACAAATGGTAAGGAGGTATAGATGGCAGTACGCTAAAAAATGTTTAGCAACTGGCTCTCTAGAGAGGAAAGCCTGATTTGCAGTATCTGCTGGTTCCTATGGTATAAGTATTCCCCAAATAGCCAGTTTCAAACCAAAAACCCAACATCACTGAATGTGGAAGTTGGAGATGAGAAAATCAGCTCTCCAAGAGAAAGCTCCAGTACACCAGTGGGTGTAAAGGATGCAAGAATATTTTCAGTCTCAGAGATAACATTCTATTCCACAAGTTATTTACAATAAAGATAATGTCATTGGTTGTGTTGACTAGCACATGGGAACAAACTAGAATGTTGAGACACCTTTACAGCCTAAAATGATTATTTCTAATCAACAAAGCTGTGCAGAAAAGAGTGAGCACAGCAGGCACAAATGGTCTCCACCGAAAGGCCTGCTTAAGAGTTTGGCTCTTGGCTGGCATCTGCAGATGTGGATTTCAGGAGGGTTCCCACCATCATAACTGATAAGAGTAGCTCACTATGCACATTTTAACACCTGCTTTCCTTCTGGGAGTCTGGAATTTGGGTACACAACAAGCAGAGGGTGCCTATGCGACCAGCTCCCAATAAAAACATGGGCACTCAATCTATAACAAGTTTCTAATAGACAACATTTCACACATGTTGTCACAGCTCATTGCTGGGGGAATCAAGCATGTCCTGTGTGTCTCCACTAGGAGAGGACTCTTGGAAGCTTGTGCCTGGTTTCCCCCAGACTTCACCCTATGCATCCTTTGATTTTTTTTTTTTTTTTTTAATATCCCTTCACTGTAATAAATCATAGCTGTGAGTCCTCCTACCAAATCACCAAACCTGGAGGTGGTCTTGAGGACCCCTAACCTATGAGTATTAAGTCATTTCCTCAGAAACTTATTTGTCATGCACAATCCCATTTCATCAAAATGGGGGGCAGGGGGGGAACCAAAGAAGAATAAAAGAGAAATAATGACTCTTGCCATTTGCCAGTTATAGATATTTTCCATCACCTCCAATCTAGACAACTGCATTCAATATACCAAATCTGCTCTGAAAGATCATCTAGAATGTACAGTGCTTCAAGAATACAATAGCTTAATTCCTTTTCAGTACAAGAATCAGAAAGACATTCTTTTACTTGAGATGAATCTCTCTAGCACTTAAGCTCACAGAGTGTGGTTCACTAGCAGAATTGTTTATACACCCACTAGCAGCTGTTGCTATGTATTTTGTACCGTATAAGTAAGATAACCATATAATTTATTCTCAAAACTTTTAAAACTGAAAGGAAGCACTAGTAATAATTATGCCATAACAATAGGTATAAACTGTTGTTTACATGGCAAAGGGGATGGTATAGTCATCCTAGTAAGAAACCAAGTTAATTACGTAAGGAAACCATGGAGTTCTGGCAGATAGCTAAATTCTTCCCTACCTACAATAAGCTATCTCAATTCAAAACAGAGGAAAAAGGCTCATGTTATATTTGTTGAAGTATTCCCAGAGGAAAAAGGATTTAACCTGGACTCTAAAGAATGGAGACATTTAGAGACTCTAAAGAATGGAGATAAAGGGAGATGAGTTTGAGGGAATAAAGTTGGGAAAAGTTATGTTTTGGTAGATCAAAAGATTTTGTTTGAAACCATCAGAAATGAGAGTTAAGGCAGAAAAGAGAGAATGAGTGCAAACTTCATCCTACAGACTGTGCCAAAGCTTGAGGAAGGCGTTGACAAGATCAAAGCAGAATTTCAAGAAGATTAAAGAGAGGACAGTATAGACTATGTTAATATATATAAATTATATAACCATTAAACGTGAATGCACCTCTTATTTGCTCTGATATATTAAAGGAGACCTCTTCTTATTTGATAAGGGTAAAAGTGTTTGGTATATCCCAATAAGAAAGAGAAGGTGAAGGATGTGGGTATGAGAAGCAAGGGGGAAAAAAAGTCAAAGATAACTTTGATACAAGAAGTAATACACCAGTATTAATAGAATTAAAGAAATGAGAAGTGGGAGCAAATTTGAGAAAAATGGTGATGTGTGAGATTTCACATGTGTCACTAAAAATGGTAGTCTGAGTCCTGGTAACCAGTCAGCGGGCAGCACAAAAGTCAGGCAATGAAATCATGACCTGGGAGACATTCACCAAGATGTTATAGATAGTATGAAAGTAGAAGAGATGTCAGGCACACAAATTGAAGGATAAGAATAGAGGTATAAGGTTAGAACCGAAGGGGTTCCCTTCATTAAGGAAGTGGGGATAAGAGGAACCAGCTGAAAGCATATTTGGTGATATGTGGAAACCCAAAATCTGGGTTTCTAAAAGGAATTCTTTTCCCTTTGACTTCTTTCCTTATTAAAGAAGTAATACATATTCATTATTGTAAGTTTATTCATTATTACAACAGAAACATAAAGATAATAAAAATTAACAAATATTTAATGAATTTTTATTTAATTAATATTAATAATTAATATTTTGATTTTTATTTAATTAATATTTTAATTTGAATATACTGTTGAAATTAATAAAATAATAAAAACAGCAATCCCACTGTTAATATTTCTATGTGTAACACACATATACACAAGCTTACTTTAAATAAGGCTCAATAATACTGTACATTCTGGCTTAAGCTTTGCTTTTTTTCCACTTAAGCTAATGCATATTTCCCAATGTCTTTAAATGATTTTCCAAATAAAACTTTTCACAGCCACATTAACTCCATTTTTGGTCAAACTATATTTGTATATTTATCCCAATCATTCTTTGTACCATTTCAGATGTTTCTAAATTTCTGCATTGTGAATAACTCTTGGATCAACGTATTTATATGATTTATTTTTATGCTCATCTCTGATAATTTCTCTTGGGTAAATTCCTGCCAAAAGAAATCATTTCAACTATCTTGCATATTTAAAGTTTGTTGAAATATGTCATGAAATTTACCGCAAGAATGATTGAATGATTTTATGTTCCCACCAGAAAGCAAAAGTGTGCTCACTTTCCCATACCTCCATTAACAGTAGATAGTATCTTTTAATAAATTACAATAATATCCTGCTGCTATTATTAATTTGCAATGTTTTTGGAACATGTGACAATGAAAGTTACAATATTCACATTCACTATAGTTTATATTTCTTCCTTGATCAAATGGCCTTTCATATTCTTAGCCCATTTTTTCCACTGAAGACTTTACCTTTTTCACATGGATTTGCAAAGATATCTTGTTTATAAGAGATGGTAATCCTGTGTCATATGCTATATAAATTCCCCAACACTTTGCCTTTTAATTTGATAATATCTTTTGAAATAGACAGATTATTTTTATGCATTCCAGTCTTTCTACATTTCCTTTGTGATCTCTTCCTCTTGTTTTATGCTTAGAAAGAAATTATCCATTCACATATCAAATATAACTTCTTTTCATCTACTGTAAAGCCTATAATCTTGACAAGTCTGTTTCCAATTCTGTTTACTCCAATAATCCATCTAATTGATGGTCTTGGAGCTTTATCAACACAAGCTGACCCCTAATTCAGTGCTGGAAATGGGCAGTCACTTATTTTCCACGAGCAAAATGAACAAGGAGTCATTTTGTGCAGGTGAGAAGGCACAGAGGGGTCCTTTCTGAGAACAACTTAGGCTTGGTGCTTAGAGAAGGACATGAGCTGCTCTGGAAAGGAACAGGTGGCATTTAAGGCCATGTTATGGAATTAAACATGTGTGTGTGGAAGCATCTCCCTATAACAGGTCTGATTCCTGGAAGGGTAGAGGGGGGAAAAAAAACCCAAGCTACATATTTCCCTGTCTATATTATGTGTTCTGAGGAGTTGCTCTGGCACAACTTGTGTGGTGTGTTGTGTTGTGGACTGTGCCTCTTGGAGGGGAGGGGCGTATATTGTGTGTGTGTGTGTGTGTGTGTGTGTGTGTGTGTGTGTAGTGGGGCAAGTGGAGGATGTTACTAACCATGTTATAGGTTTTTCCAGCCTCCAACTAAATATAGAAGCAGAATGGATATTCACCATAGCCTAACGGATTGAGGGCCACTAACAAGCAAATTATTAAATATTGAGCTAGGTTGTCAGGGAAAATTGAAGCATATCCTCTAGAGGACTGTAAAATTAGGATAAAGTTAGCATTTGCTTGATGTTTTAAGCAATGTCTTGTCTAAGCATGGCCTCTCATATTCACCAAGAAGCTGATAAAGCTATAACCCTTTAGAGACTCTAAAAACCACACTTGATTTTGAGGCAGTTTTTAAAATGATACCTGGCCGTGGCACAGCAGACAATGGTAGACTGCAGATGATTATGGGAGCATTTCTCCACCTGACTACATCTACACACTGTACTCTCTCTTAGGTTTATTCTAGTGCAATGTTTAAAGAGAAATGTGAGCATTTAAGAAGTCTGGAACATACGAATATAATATTAAATTAGAACATAGTACTTCATAAGAGTAAATCTGTCCTTGAAGATTAAAAACATAATTTTCCTTAATGGCAGATTTTTCTCCATTTCACTTCAGCCACAAAACCTTTCCATTGGCACACAACTATAGATTAAATTATCTTCTTTTGACAGCAGGTGTTAATAAGATATAGGTTATAATGTACTCATGTTTAAATAACAAAACTTCCCAGTAGTAAGTAATTTCTTCATTTCTAAAGGAAGAAATTCAATTCCCTCAATGAGAACATGAGAGTGTAGAAAGAAGGAAAGGTTAAAAGTAACCCTGCCATGACTTTTTGATGCAGTTGGAACTATAGTCAAACTCAAAGTCGTCATAAGAAAACGAATAAGGGGAGCAGAGGACCAGGGAAAGTTTGAAAAGCAATTCAGTAAGGGAGGTGGCTTTGCTAAGGAAGGAACAGGATGAGGCATTTGAAAGTGGTTCTGCATTGTGATACCTACAAGTAACAGAGGGAAGAGGAAGGAGACTAAAGGAGACTCAGCATGGGACAAGGTTCCCTGTGAAGGTCTGGAGAGCAGTAGAGAGCCACAGGTGAACTAGCTCAACAACTTCCAACCCACAGCTCTGAGACGCCCCACTGGATACTGAAATGTGGGTGGTGTTTCAAGATTTTATTGCTGCTAAGATGATAGTGGCAAAAGGGTTCGATTTTTTTTTTTTTTTTAATATATCCCATCACTGGAACCAGAACTGCATTATTCCTCAGTAAAACGACTACTTAATTTTTACTAATTATAGTTAAAACACTATCAATGAGAAGAACAGACGTTTCAGAAAAAGGGAAAAAATGGACTATACATATGTATACATGGTAGTAAATATTTCTGTTGACTTGTTCTTTAAGAAAATTGATGTAAAACAATTGAGATTTTAAAACATGTAATTATAGATCTTTTTCTTCCCCTAATGCCGAAGCAATGCCTTAAAAACAGGTATTTTTAATTTAATATAAAAGCTATAACATGAATTTGGTAGGTCCTGCCATTTAAAATACGCCCACTAAGAAGAAAAGAAAAAGTCTTGTTGCATCCTTTCTCATTGTTGAAGGAAATACTAATCTTTCACTCGAAATTGTTAACATTAAATGTCCTAAGGCATGTAAAATGCTCAGCACAGTGCCTGTGCATAGTAAGTGCTTAATTAACTATTCTTATTATCATTTTATTAAACAGTAGCAGATTCTGAGATACTTGTACCTTTGGAAATTTGAACTTCACATGCCTTAATGCTAATGCCTTGCCACGTTTAATTGGAAAAGCTTACCTCTTGCAAATGAGACTCCTTTTTCTTTGCAGACAAATTCAAATGTTTGTCAAGAATAGAATAGTATTTTTCACTCTCCTTGTCAAACTTCTTCTTTCCATCCTAGAGGATAAAAAAACATCAAAACGTTCAAATTAAAGAATCAAGAAAACTTTGATTTTCACCACCCCCATCAAATGTCCAATAAAATTATTTAATAAAGATTTAGTGAGCCCCACCTATGTGCTAAACTTAATGAAGTAGAATAGGAAGAAGGATGTAAAAAAAAGGTCATTTGAATCTGTATTCTGCTCTCAAAGAAGTTCATGGAACTACAGCATGGAGGAGGCCAGGCTGCTTACAGCTGAATCTCTTGGAGCGAGTCACAGCTGCCTCTCAACAAGAGATTCTGATCTAGAAAGTCTGGGTTAGGACCAAGAAAAAATGTCTTTTTTAGGCTTTTCAGTGATTTAGATAAGTTCACATATAACCAGCTTAGAGAACCACTTGCACAGACTCTTTTCAAGGAATCATATTTCTCAGCCACAAAAAGACACCTGGTATTTCAAACAACTCATTCTTGACAGGGAGGAAAGCAGACTTTTAAATGCTGGTGGCTTGAAATAATTAAATAAGACAATTCAAAGTCAAATCAAAAGGATTAGCAACATCTGTATCATACACTCTGAACATAACTCTAATAGTCGACCTTTGCTTATCCTTAAAATGACGCTTTTTTGTGGGAGTAGCTGTAAACAAGCTGGCCTTTTATGGGGGGGAGATAACCTTTTATCCTATGGCATGCTTCTATAGAAACGCAAATAGAATAAAATCCTAAAGGAAACAGGACATGCCTGGGCATATAATCTTCTCCAACTATAAATGTTATCCACCAGGTATGTTTTTTCCATTTATGAGTCCCTATGAAATAAACACTAGGTAACCACACTCATAAATTTCATTGGCCAAAGAAATACTATTCCTTGCTTTTATTTCAGTGTTTCTGGAACTGCAATCTGGACCACTTGAATCAGAATCAAATATTTTTAAGCCTATTCATAATGCAGATTCCTATTTCTCGCATCCAGAGATTCAGGCATTGTTATTTTTAAAAAGCTCTATGATTATTATGCATAATGCTTTGCTTCCTTATTTGTAGAAGTACTTGAAAGAGGTTACTTAAAAATAATGGATGATGGATGATGGATGGATGGATGGATGGATGGATGAGGGGAGGGAGTGGAGGGGATAGGGAGAAAAGGAGGAAGGGGGAAAGACAGGAAGGCCTCTGGTCTGTCTTTCCCATTATTCTGAGGTTGTCAGATCCAGGTTAACCTATCCAGGTAATTCTATTTTGATCCACTGTGACTCCGAACATTTTCTCTCCTCAATTATACTCCCAGGCACCTCTCATGATCCAGTTCCTTGTATGGAACTTTAGAAAGTTAACTGGTAAAACTGTACTGAATGGGAAGAGCAAGTAGGGTTCTGGTTTAAGAGTTCAAGTCACTTTTAGACAATTTAAGAAGTATTGTTAAATTTATATATTAAAGTAATAAACCTGTAAATGAGGGGGGAAAAGTCAAAATCCTCAAAGGATTTTTTTTATCTAAGGAAAAAATGTGGTCCTACCAGGAGAAACACAATTGGAAAATAGAGAATAGAACTGCCATCCAAAAAGGGTCTGTTGAGGAACTCACATAACAAAATGTGGAGCAGCAGACCCAAAAGGAAGCAGAGAAGCCCAAGGTTCAGGATGGGAGGAGCTTGTCCTCTCCACTGCTGGAACAGACACCTGGGTGAACATTTCATCTTTTGCTCAGTGGATGTTACTCTTTAATCGGACATTTCATGCCCACAAGGGACCTGCCCAATCTCTCTTTCCAAAAGTCTCTCTCACTAGCCACTTTGTAGCTCCTATTCTTGCTCCTTTCTTTTCTCTCTACAAACCATCCCTCCTCTGACATAAATGTTCATTTCTTCCAATTTCCACATATTCAAATTTTATCTACTTTCAGCATCCAGCTCAAATAGACCTCATCCAAAAGTCTCCTCCATCAACATTCTCTCCCTGTGAATACTCATATAGCTTTGGGTTTCTTATGGTATTCATGCTCTACATCATAGCAGAGAAATTTATATATACACCCTATCCTCTTTAAAATTGAATATTTGAGAGAGTGCTTAGTAAATATTTAATGAACAAGTGAAATTCATCTTCTTATAACACTGGCCACCACAGTCCCTCACAGACATTCCATTTGTTCGAAACAACCAATATCCCTTGTACAAGGGACAATTCTGCAGAAATGGCCTGAACTCAAACCCAATGGTACATGAACGTGTGGGGGCAACCAGCTGCATTACAGTCTAGTACATAAAACGGACTCATTTCCATCTCACAATAGGGGGCTTAACACTTCTCACTGTGCATAAAAGAAGAAACTAGTCGAAGGAGAAGAGAACACAGCTGTGGTGACTACACTTGCATCTTTGTTTTCAGTCAGTGTTTGATGGCATTTTTGGATGTGTTAATTCAGTGCCAACACATCAGCATTCCTGGCAACACAAAAATCATTCCCAGAAGCACTTCCTGGACTCTTATTCAAACTCTGGCCCTTCACACCATCAGTCCAGCAAAAAAGATATACTCAAAGGCTCCAATGATGTAGATAACAAAAACATACTCAGTTCTAGCATAAAATTAAAGATTTGAGTTAAAAGAGTAGGCCACATGAAGGACAACTATAATCTAGGGAAGCATGTTCTTGAAAACAAAGAGCACTTCTCCTTGCAACTCACATCTCCCCAAAAAGCCATGAATTACTGCTCACATCAGCCAAGTTTTATTTGGACATAGTAACTTAATACCATGGACCTAACTCTTATCTCGTGTTGCTTGTTGTGGATATCAAGCTAAGAATTTCTCTGAAACCAGTGCTGCAGAGGGAAAGGAAAAACAACCCATGAATCTTTACTAAATGCTGTGCATGATCACTGTCTTCTTATCGTGAGGGCACGATTCAAAAAAAAGACGACTACATTATAATGGTATGTTTTCTGTAAATCCATAGTAAGTGCATTTGAACTAGGTAATCATTTAAAATGAAGCCACATATATGTATGTATATATTTGTGTGATATGTGTGTCTGTCTGTGTGTATATATAAATAAAAAATTTTAACATAGATCACCAAAAATGGCAAACTAGTCCCTAAACACAATTATAGCTGGCAAAAGTATAAGTTCCGGGTCTGCAACCAAGAATTTGTTTTCCAACCTACACTGCATTTACTCTGAGCACACTGATATTATCACTGAGTTTCTAAGATTAGCAAATGTGGTCATGCCACACCTTCATTTTTACACGTTGAAGTGAGGAATGGGAGGAAACCACTACAGCAAAAACTTCAAGTGTCAGTTTTGCTCTTAAAGTTGCTGTACGTAACAAAAAACTGTCAAATATTTATAAAAACTATAGGTCTATCAAGTAGATAAAAAACATTAAATTATACATAATTGTTAAAAACAAGGCCAAACCACTGCCTTCCACTGACCACGAGAGGGTACCAAAGAGAAGGAATAGACTCGATCACAATATTTAGAAAATCATGAATAGTTCTCAAAATGTTATCTAATATTTTTTCTATAAAAGACTACTGCAAAGTTTTGCTTAAACAATTACTTTAGCAACCTTTATTTTAATATTACCATGATACAAATTTTTTAAAATAAAGGAACTGAAAAAAATATTTTCTATATTTCTTTAAAAAAAATTAAGCACATATTTAAGATTTATGCGTCAGATTTTTAAGACAATCTCAATGTTGTAATTGCCACATAGGATATTGCAAAATTTCCCATGCAACTATTTATATCATCATGTTAGTATAACCATGAGCTAAATAAGCATTGTGTGTATATTTTGAAAAACACTTCAAGTAAATGCACAGTTGTAGAAACAGTAAGCTGAAAAATAATAATAAATACCAATAGCTAAATTTCTATTTCAAAAACATGTGGAATTCCTATAAACTGGTACCATGTTAGACATAGAGAAGATAAGATATAACTCTGACTACCAAACTCAGCTAGACTTCTTCCTCCTCTGAAGGTGGGATTTACTCACTGCTTAGAATGGCAGCCCAGGATGACATCACCATCTGATTCCAGAAGGGCCAGATGCTAAGATATTCCAACCACATGCTGCGTAGGAGTTTCCTGAGGTCCAAGAGATTCCTGGTATCCAGGAACTCAAGTTGTTGAGAATCTTAGTATAGCTTACACAGCAATGGCCCTTCTGTGGGTGATTGCACCCAACCATTCCCAGTCTCCCCAATCCTTTCCCCACCAAGTCCCTCCTCCTCGATCTGCCAAAATATAGACATTCCAAAAGGGTTCCTTGCTGGGTAGTTGTACCAGCATAATTTACCACCTCTCCCCCATCCCCAATTACCTCACCACTACCACCACCAGGTGATCTCAGATTCCTAAGAACCAAAGTTTCATTTTTGCCTTTATAAGGAACTCCTACAAACTGGACAGACAGAAAAACAGATAAACATATGCAAAGGATATGAAGGAATAAGACACAGAAGAGGAAAGCCAAAAGAGTAACAGGCATATGAAGAGTTTTTCAAACTCATTAATAATAACAGAAAAGCAAATTAAAATATTGAGATATCACATTATATCTATCAGATACTGTCAAGAATTAGAAAGTTGAATAACACTATATGTTGAGTGCATATGGAGATATAGGAACGCTTATATACTACTGGTGGGATTGTAGAGAGGTGTAACCTTTCTAAAGAGAAATGCTGTACTATTAAGTGGAATATATGTGTGTCCTAAGAACCAGCTTCTGGGTGTATATCCCAAAAAGATCTCATGGAAAAGTCCATAAGGAAACACTAACGAGGATGTGCATCTGTGGGTATAAGAAGATAGCCAGGGTATTCATTAGTGGACATAAAATGAATTAGATGCATAACATGCAGTGCTATGCAGAAGCTAGAAGGAAATACTACATGAGAATGGATCTTAAAACAATTCTGAGTGTAAAATAAAGAACACAAAATAGATAAATAAAATCATTTATGTCAATTAAAAAGTCAGGCATA